AGTTGTGTCACCACAGTTAATTGGAAAAGCCAAGATGTCTATTAGACATTTCTTACAGCTTTCTATGGGTTGTTGCCCACAAGCTTAAATAAAATGTATCTTTGGAGGATGGATATGCCTCCACCTTAATAAGAGAGAACTTTTGATCTTCTAGATGTTCAGATCAGACTTTAATGTTTAATAGGAAGGAAGGAATCAATCACTGCATTAGCTGTGCATACGGTGATCTCTTTTTGTACTTCAGCATCTTCCATCAGTGACAGCCATAAACATTTGCATTTTGGGATATTTCTTTAGAGGACTTTTAAATGGAAAGATTAGACCATGTTGGGTTCTTTTGTGAGAACGTTACTCAGACCAATGAGTTGAAAATAGCAATAAGTCATTCTTCTGATGCATAAAAATGATTTCCCCCCTAAATTCATAAAATTCTTCAAATACTTTTCTAAATTTAGAGCTAACAAATATTGGTGGGGGAAGGACCAATCAGCTGTTGCTCAGCTCTGCAAAGTGTTCTGTAAGGGAATAGAGAAAATAACACACACATTTCCTTCTTTCCCATCCTGCCTTCCTTTCAAATGCAAGAAGGAACATGAAACACAAATAGGGTATAGGTTTCAGAAGTGTCGGTAACCCATTAAAAATGTGATCTAGTAAAGATTGAGCGTGTTTCTTATTGATATTAACAGGATTGCATTCAGAGTATCCCATTCTCATTGGGGGGGACATATCCCCCCGGGCCTCCCCAGCACATTTGAATGGGGCCATAGACTACAATCCTGATTCAGCCTATATTACTTTCATATTGTGTTCATGGCGGCCCCCAAAAAGAAAAAGTTTAGAATGGCTACTCTAGCACTACAATATTGAATTGACTGATCAATTTTTGATTAATCATTTAGAGAAAAATCCAATTGTTAGTTCCTGCTAGAGTAGACCTGTTGAATCACTGGAAATTTGGTAAGTCAATATTTGTGTGATTTCCATGACTTCAGTAGGTCTCCTCCAGCCAGTCTTAACCATCCAATTTAGCCCTTCCCCAATGAACTGCCCTGGTAAATAGGGTAGTTAAAAATACAAGCACTAGATAGCGAGTACTGTTTTATGAAACATTCTTCCTTTTCTTTCAAACAAGATGAAAATGCTTCTGTGAAGGTGGAACCTATCATTTAGAAAAACAAGGAAGATATGCTTCTTGCTTCATAACAGTTGATTTTCTTCATATGCTGATTTAATTAGCCAGAACCCATGTGATTAACCAGTTAAGATTTCTTGAATATTGGTGACATTGGTTCCAGCACTGCTGTATGTCTAGCAGACTGAAGTCTTTCCTGCATGACTTGCTGCAGTGACATTCTAAAATTAGTGGCCTAAGGACTTGCACCATAGCTAAGCAATAGAATTCACATGCATTCATGTGTACATTCAGGATAAGAGCTCAAAGCTTTATCCAGAGTTGAATGTGATAAATAAATTTAGACCAAGTCCCAGTAAAGTCAGGTTGAGTCTTAAAACATGGCACATGGCAGTCCAACAGACTGACAACATTTTCTTCCTTGGTAATACACTCAAGATTTGCAGTTAATTTGATTACATCCAGTACACTCCAGATTAGCCACCGGGTCAATGCATTTTGTTAAAAAACAAACAGAAACACTGCTCAGTTTATGATAGAAACTGTTAGTGTGAAAATTCTAGCTGAATTACAAATACATCTTAACCTAACGGTAGGTTAAAAACTAGGAATTTTAGGGGCCAGTTTTAGATACACAAGACATAGCATGTACAATATATTGTATGAGATGTAATAGTGTGGGTCACAGTACAAAGTAACAAGGTTTGCCCTCATAGCTGAAGCACCAGCCCAGGCATATTTTACTGTATGCAAATACAGCAGGGATCTGTATTTGACTTCAACTGTTTGGTGTGTGTTAAATATTTATACACATGGTAAGAGAGACAGGTGCATCTGCTTCAAATGTAACACTAATCACTACATGTACTTTCAGTCTACATTGTGTGAATTTATCTACATTTTAACTGAAAACTGTAAAGACCCAAACTGCATCTGAAGACAGAATTTCAAATAGAAAGTTTACTCTGGTAAAATGGAAGGATGATTAGCGGTGGACCCCAGCACTTAAGCCAAACTAAGTTCTGCCCAAATTAATGGAACTTACATCCATGTTTAGAATCAGGGTGGCAGGCATAACACATCTTTATCTTATTCTCATCTTCTAGAATGAATTCAGTATATGAGGCCAAAAAATGATGCATAGGCATAAGCTGTTGTGACAAAATGGAAATGATCTTTCAGGATGCATGAAACTCTATAGCCATTGTCAAGTCAACAAAATCTTCCCAAGCTGATAACATGCAGGGTGAAAATCATCTTCTTGCACTTAAACATGACTCTTTTTTTACTGGGTATTCCAAACAAGGAGACAAAACATTTTAAAATGTCATTTGTAAGACATATTGCATCACACTTAATTTTTGCACATGATTGGAAGTCAGTTGATTTTCCCCACCCAAAACATGCTGCCTGTCTTCTACATCAAATTTTGCAAAACTGCTTTAATAACCTGGGGAAAAACAGATTCCTTAAAATGAGACACTAACTTAAAAACCCACAACAGTCCTCTTTACTTGCAGACCCACCCTTGTCCTATGAAGAGGGAGAGATTTGGCAAACCTGCTTTACTCTGTGCAACCCATACTATGCCCCTTCCCCCAAAATTTTCTATATGCCAGAGAAAATAACATTTGCCTCTCAATATGACATCACTGCTCAGTTACCATTGCCTTGCTTAATCTATTCCCTTTGAGCTTCTTTAAAGAAGTACACCTGCAGAATTCCAAAACAACTGCCTTTGATTTGAAAAGGAAAAGTGTCAGAATTGTGGATTTTCATCTCTGTACCTGAGGAAATGTGTAGGGAGTTCTAGTCCTCTTTGAAGAAGCTCATAAGCCAAGCGGGCAAAGCTTTGGGAAACAGAAGAAAATGAAAAGGGTACATACTCCTGAGAAGGAAATTACATACTCATCAAGACATTCTTGTTACTTTTTAAAAAAAAAAAGTGTGCAGGTGATCTGACACATTTTAAAGAAAGAGATTGCCATTGCTGAGAGTTAAACAATCTCTAGTCAGAGCAAGAATGAGCAGACCTATCTCATTCTAAACACATTGTCCCTAGTCTGCGTGCACACTCCAAAGCACACATGAAACTCCTGAACATGTGAGTTCTCCTATTTGCTTCAGTGGCACAGATCCTTGTGCGTGTCTCTGGGTGAACTTTGAGCTCTTCCTTCCAACAAGGAATAAAATCTTACTGCAAACTCTCAGAAACGTTTGGAAGTGGGAGAGCTCCATGTGCACCTGAGAAGTCCTGCACCTACACAGGACAGTCCAAATGTCAAAACTGACATGGAAAGAAATTGTAGTAATTTCAAACATAGGGATGTTTCTGATGTAACATTCTTCTTCCTTGGAGAAGATACCTATGCAAAAATACTACATCTGAATGCAAAATGCATTTTAAAAGGACCGCTTGCAAGCAGCAAAACACAGACCCTCCCTGACTGATGCAAAAGTTCACATCTTTTCTATACCTCTGCAACATTTTTCACATGACTTCATGAAAAACAGATATTGTTTTGGAAAGTGACAGCTGATTCTAAACTAGATCAGAGCCTTTCTGTCAGTGGTTCAGATCCAGTTTTAACAACAGGATTTAAGTTAGTCCCATGTAACTTAAGTCACATTGATTCAAGCTGGTCTATTTTATGACTATCTTCAGATCCAACTCAGACGTTCACTGGATTTTATATGCAAACAACACATTATTACAGCCAGTGGCAACTGCAGATTAGAGCCTCAGAATTTAAAGATGAAATATGCTAAGTATCTCGTTTATGTTATGTGCTGTCAAGTCAGAACTGACTTGCAGTAACTCTAATAGGCCTTCCAAGGTCAGTAAGATATTTCAGGAATGGTTTTACCAGTTCCATGCAGTGCGTTTTCATGGCTGAGCAGGAATTTGAACCCAGGACTCCCGAGTCCTAGTCCCTCACTCCGTCCACAATACTGCACCCTCTACTTTATAGCGAACTGGAAATTTAAGGAAAGAGCCTACATTGTCAAGGGGCCCTGAGTTAATTTTCCAGTTAGCCACTATTTAATCTTTTCTGTAGCAGTAGTCTAACTCTTCCACAGCATCCACTTGTTAACTGTATATGCAGTGATTTGTATTTGTCCCTAATAGCTCTTAGTCTTTACAGACCCATAGAGTAGGATTTTTGCGCCTTCCGTTCCCACCCACCCACCCTCTCTTAAGACACCTATAGGACAGAGGTTACTGATAAATGTCAGGCCTTGCTCTTCTGGCAACACTGAGGAGATCTCACTGGCAATGGGAGGGTCTCACACAAATTGAAGGCCTACAGTTGGGACAGAGTTGAAAGCAGGGCCCTTTGCTCTGAATGGGACAGTCCAATATAAAATAAATCCAATCCTTTGAAGGTTTTTTGTTGTTGCTTTTTCTACTTTAGATAAAGACATTTTTAAAAACCCAACAATAATACAGAAACAGACTATGTATCTGGCCAACATATCAACATTAACAAAATGATTCTTCCAATAAGTTACTGATTGCTTTAACACCTATTAATATTATTATTATGGTCTTCCCCCCCATCCCTCCTCAAAAAAAAACAAGGAAAAAAATAAGATTGTGGGAGGGCAGAAGTGGAAATTCCTGGAAGTTGTCTTCAAAAGTTCCTTTGTAAAAGCCATTGAGCCACTGTTCCTGCTCCATTGTGCGCCTCTGACCTTTATTTCCTTTTTTTAAAACAAATTAATTGTGGGTGTGACCTACCTAGCATAATTCTTCCAAAGCCCAATCCAGTATTTTAAAGCTAAAATTAAAATGTTCTTTTTAAAAAGATTTTCTCCCTCTCTCTCTCTTTCTCCTTCTCTCTCTCTCTCTGCTTTTCCTTTCCTTTTTTATTTTATTTTTTCCCCCTAATTTCATTAGCGTCATCTGTTTCATTTTCTGTGCTTCTCTTCCTTGTCTCCAGTTTTACTACCTGGTCCTTCCCCAGACGTGTGCCTGTTAGCAGAGTTGTTGTTCAAGAACATCTTGTCCATGCCTTTGAGAGCTTCAGTTAGGTAGTTCTGGAGAGCAGTCAGGGCAGCACATATGGCTGGGGACCCAAAGCCGTGGGTGATGAGGCTGAAGTGAGTCAAGCAGCTCTGGATCCCTGGTTCCAATATGGGACTGGGCCGGCTGTTGCCAATGGGCGTCCTGTCCTGGGCCAAGAGATCCGTAAACTCTTTACAAAGTTGCCTGCAGGGGAGAAAGATACAAAACAGTTGACAAGAGCCCAAAAAAAAAAAAGTTGGGATTGGACAATTTTGCTGCTTATGCATTTAACATGCTCTATCATTGAGAAAAATAACGGAATTTGTTTGCCCGGTAAATTCTATTATTTTCAGTCACATTTGTCTTCTGCTTTTCCTTCACAGATCTCAGACTATGGAAATCAATCCCGATTTATCTTTACAACAGTCCAGATCAGTGGTTCTTAACCTTTGTTATTCACATGTTTTTGAACTGCAACTCCCAGAAACTTCAGCCAGCAGAGCTGATGGTGAAGGCTTCTGGGAGTCGCAGTCCAAAAATATCTGAGTAACAAAGGTTAAGAACCAGTGGTCCAGATCACTAAATTGTGACAAACTCATCTAGAGACTTTCATGGCAGAACAAGGATCTAAACCTGGCTTTTCCAATCCCCTACACCATTCTGCATTTTCTTAATGATGTTGTTGTACAGGAAAAAAGCTATCATATCTTTCTTCTCTTTTACCTACAAATGTTAGAAGAGTACTATGTGGTCAGGGTATGGCTTGATAGATCATGAAAATTTAAGACATTGCATGTTTATATCTATAGATACATAAGGTCCATTTATCTAATACAGAGACCTATTCAAGGCTTTGTAGTGTATCCTGATTTGGTTGTAGGGGTGTGCAGATTTGCATTTTTGGACTACAATTCCCAGAATTCCCCAGGCAATTCCAGGAGTGATTTGGCCCCATTCAGTTTGAACTAGCAGAACAGCAGTGCACCATAGAAAGGAAACTCCAATAAAAGGACACACACACACACACACACACACACACACAGAGAGAGAGAGAGAGAGAGAGAGAGAGAGAGAGAGAGAGAGGCAGTATTCAGAAAGCAGTATACATCTTGAAGTGGAATTACCTGTGTGAATATTTGCAAGCTCCCCAAACCTATTGAAAAAATAAGCCAAGCACACACACAAATTGAAATTAGGAAGAAACCAATAAGATTTCTTCTGCTTGAATCTATTATATGGCCAGCAATAATTAAGGTAGCAAGTTCCAATGGATTTAACTTAACCCATCCTTTGAAAGAGTTTCCCAAAGTAAAGCACTTTTTTTTTTCATGGTGATTGATCAAAACTGTGACATGCCCTTAGGGAAGGATGTTTCTCTCATTTGCATTTTACAGATCAGAAACATAGGATTTGTTCAAGGTTACCCAAGAAATCCTCGACTCAGCAATTCAAATCCATGTCCCTCATAGTTTTATCTGGAGAAAGGAGTGTGAGCCTCCCTAATGCAAGAAAGAGAAATTCTAGAGGGGTAACCATGTTTGTCTGTAGTCTATTGCAGCAAAACAGCAAAGTGTATCGTGTCTGGCAGAAGAGTTCGCGGCATGCAGCCGACTTTGCAGGCTGAAAACCACAAAAGCTTACGCCAAGCAGTGTCTGTTAGCCCCCCCACCCCAAAAAACTGGGTTAGAATTCCTTTACTATTTATTTATCATTTATTGGGGGTGGGGAAAGACAAGCAAAAATGTGAGTGAAATTTCAGGGTATTCAGAACAAAGGCCAGCCAAACTGCCACATTTTGAGGAGGAATCTCAAATCTGTAAGTAACCAAAGATGTAAGTAACCAGGCTCATAAAAGGGTGTAGTGGTAGGAGACCTTGCAGTGCACCGTTTCAGCACTTTTTCAGAGCAGGAGCAATGGAATAATCTGCTGCCAGTACAGTGATAACACAGTTTTCCAATTTCCAGTTGTTAACACCACACAATGATTGATTTTTCTCATTTGAAGCTGAAGGCTGAGTACCATTTGATGATCATTTATTTAAAATATATATTCTACAATTTGAACCTTCGAATTCAAAAACTGCACTGCACTGCATTGAATAGAGTTCACTCCCAGATAGTTATTGAAAAAGTGGTTCTTTTCACCCCAGTGGGGAAATAATAATAATCATATGCTATCAAGTCAATTCTGGCTTACAGTAACCCTTTTCCAGGGTTTTCCAGGTAGAAAATACTCAGAAATAGTTTACAATTCTCATCTTCTGAAGGTGTCTTCCTAGGATTGTGCAGCCTGCCCAAAGCTACATAGGCTGGCTGTGTACCCAGATACCCAGCTATCTAGCTGAACCTCATTTGCAGCTCTGCAAAAGATTACAGTCCTCCTCCCAATGATCTCTGAGATTTTTAACATATGCTTTCATTACAGTACTAGTAAGATTTTACGCACATGTATATATGTTTATGCTTTTGGGATATTGTGTATTTTATGTATATGTATTTGGGATATTGAAGACAGGAGGGCCTGGCGTGCCCTGGTCCATGAGGTCACGAAGAGTCGGACACGACTTAACGACTAAACAACAACAAAATCTGGGATATTGGTCATTGACCATAATAAAGTATCTATCTGTCTATCTGTCTATCTATCTCTCTATCTCTCTATCTATTTATCTCTCTCTCTCTCTCTCTCTCTATCTATTTATCTCTCTCTCTCTCTCTCTCTCTCTCTCTCTCTCTCTCTCTCTATCT